TTCCGGAATATCTTTGTTCACGCTTTGTCTTCCGTTCCGATACTTTGACTTATAAGCTAAGAGATAGTGATGGTACGCTTGCTATCCCACAGCCCCACATTAATTACTGTAAAAGAAGTCTTTCTTACAGCAGAGTTGTACTATGGAATAGTCTGCCCTTGAATATTAGACAATCGCTCTCCCTTAATCAATTTAAATCTAAGTTGAAGAACTATGATTTTGACAGTGGTGTTATATAAATTTTATTTTGTTTTTATACACGGCTTCCTTGTAAAGCAGGTTTTTAATCATTTCTCTTATTCTAGTAGTTATTTACAATATTAAATTAGTTAGGTAGTTAGATTTATTTAAATTAAATATTGTATAGTCCTGAAGGAAATACCGTGTCTAAATAAAGATTTTACCTTTACATTTTACCTTAACGTCGTTTCATTCTTATTCATCGTACTCGGAGGTCGCTACTCACAAATTATATGATTTTCTGACACGCCACAAATCATCTAAGTTATAACGTGTTGCAACGGGAATAGTAGTTCGAAATCTGACAGAATATGTGAAAAAAGGCATGCAGTCAATTTCGAGGCTCTGTTGTCTTTTTGTGGCGACTTAGAGCACTTCAGTGGTACCATTCTGGGACGATAAGGAACGACACGACAATCTCAGGGTTTTGGAGTCCACTTGACATTCCCCTGTTCTATTACTTTCAGATGTCTGGTAGAGCGGGTCGTAGAGGTTTCGACCCAGTGGGGAATGTTGTTTTTTTTGGAGTTCCTTACCGCAAGGTCCAACGCCTCATCACAGCTAACATCCCAAAGCTTGTCGGGAACTTCCCCATCAACGTATCTCTGGTACTGCGCCTGCTCCTGATGACGTCAAAAGGAAACGACAAGAAAGACGCACTGACCAAGGTTTGTGGGAAAGATTTAGAGAACTTCCTCTTATGTCAAATATTTTGATAGCCGAGCTTAACTCATGGACGTTTTGAGCGTCTTTTTGTTTGTCTAATGAAGGACAAATGCGATCATGGTTAACTTGCACTTTTCGAAAAGGAACCGAGACGAGTCTCTTGTATTACACTGTAATGGTTCGGGACCGGATTAAGGAAACCAAATCTTAATTAGGATCTCCTTACCACTTCTGAGAGAATGCTCTCAATAAACATACACCGAGTACAAATTCAAATACGCTACATCAGGTCATTAAATCAAAAGAATAAGAAACTAATTATAAGAATAAGAAACTAATTTTAAACTGCTTTGTTCATTCTTTTATTTCCAGGCTCTAGCATTGCTGTCTCACCCATTCATCTGCCGAAAACACCCGGAAATGGAGAGTCAGATCAAGAAGCACTTTCTCTTCAGCATCGAGCTCCTTGCTAGATTGGTGAGTGACAATGCATGAAGATCCCTCACCGACTTAGATCAAAACTCCACCACAGTTTCTTGCAGAATATAACCTTTCCATAGCCTTTTTTTTTATATCCCTCTGAATTTTTTTGTACTCAATTTCCCTAAAATAGCAGTACCTTGCTGTTTAATTAAGTCAATAAGTCAATACAACTTTTTAGAAGCACGACGTTTCCTATCAAAAGCCTTCTCTATTGATATCTTTACTACCGTGTGTGATCCCAGGGGGGAGGGAGAACTCCCATGTGAAAAAGTCGGGGATGCTCGTGGGAAACTTTTAATTAAACCTCTTGACGAGACCAATCTAGGCGTAGCAAGAGCTTAATTTGACCCCTAAAAGATATCACTGTGGCACTACGAAGAAAAGCATAACCGCGTTCTTTTTTTATTGTTTCTTCGAATGCGACCCTAAGAGATGCATTGACGGCTGAAAATAGTAGCGTTTGCTCCTGAGCATCCTTAGTGAGACCAAAACCCCGTAATTTACGAGACGAAGAGCATCCCCGACCTTTTCAGATGGGATCCTCCCCCTCACCCTCCCCCACCCCGTCCCCCTCCCCTCTCCCTC